CTCTCTCTCTCTCTCTCTCTCTCTCTCTCTCTCTCTCTTGTAAAGAAGGAAAAGTTTTAAGAGTCTAGATTTAAACAACACCTCACGATGGCTAGCCGTCAAGGGCGACAGATTTTGCTAGATTTGTGCGCATTTCACAATGACATTGTCAGAACCGTATTGTTGGAAGAAAGGTAGTCTCTCATATCGCAGCCTGTGGCACAATACTGTAGAATGCAAAGCGAACTATAACTGTAACAATGATCAGTCGACAGAAAGTGGCCGAGTAGAGACCCCCGATCCTCCCCCTTAACAAATTAAAACCAACACATTATTCACATTATTATAAGGGATGGGGAAGAAGGGGGGGGGGGGGGGCGCGAACAAACAAAAATCTTAGAAGAAGAAAAAGCAAGTTAACAAAGAAAAAAAGGAAAGGGAAAAAAACTCTAATAAAATAAGATAGAAATAAACCCAACCTGAATTAGTGCACAGATTTATTTGATTAACTCTTATAAGCTAGATTTTCTTTACGAGATAGAAAGAGTGCTTTTATTGTTGTTTAAAATCTGAACTGCAATTCCTCAACGCAACCAAACGTTAAGTGTTTTTGTTAGAAGTTGTTCTCCGTTCTCCGATTCCACCGAAATATCATCGAAAAAAATTAAAGCCTGTGATGTTCATGATTCCAATAAAAAGATGTATAGCGGTATATTGCATTATAACCAGGGTGGTCTTTTGCAACAGAGCGTTCTGCAACAGGCTAGGGGCGAAGGCATACTCGTTCCACTTCGAGCAACAGTCTCCACTAGTCCAGAGCTTCGCGCGACAGTCCCCACATAAACAGTCCAGAGCTTCGCGCGAGTCAACACAGCTTCGCGGAGTTGCCTGACATCCAAAGGGGTAACGGCGGTATCAGCGAGGCCGCCTGGCCGCTGGACCAAAAGTAAACACCACGGGTTTGTTGATGAAAAGACGACACTTCTCCAGCCGGGGCTTGTCCCAATTTTCCCCTACCGATATCTGACCCACTTTTCCAGAGCCATTCAGCCTACCAGCCAATCAAAATTCAGATTCGCAGAGAGTAGCCCCGCCCCTTTTCGCGGCGAAGCGGGCTCGCGTACTATAAATCCTCTGCCTGCGCAAGCGATTGTAGTACAATCATTCTGCTTCTATAGAATACACACCGCTACGAAAAATTGTAGAGATTCATCAACAGGATTGTCTTGGAAGTTAACTCGCCGGCAATTTTACTGCTTTGCTATTGGTAAGTAGTCTTACTTGTTCTAATGGGGTTTTTTTAAGTTGTTTTTTTTTTGTTGTTGCTTATAATACTTCTAAGCAATAATGCAAGGTACCGTGGTTCTTTTTGATATTGCTACAAACGCTGATGCCCGTACTTTGATGTTGTTTATGGTTGCTTTTCCATTGCATTATTCTCGGCCTTGCTGAACTTGAATTAAATGCTACGTAAACTTATTTTGTAAGATCATCTTGTAAGTCAGACTTTTAAAATGGCTTTGAAAAAAAACGAGAAACAAAAAACCCAAAGAACTTTTAGATTCTAAATAAACGCGCCGCTTGGATTCTCTTGCTCTCAAACGTTTCGTTGCATGTTTCCAAAATTCGGTGAGCGAAGTAGGCCAAGGCTGTGAGGTCAATAGGTCGCTCAGGAGTCGAGCCCGCCTGCTTATCAAGCTTCTCTTTGCTACAGGGTGTGCAAAAATTTAAAGAGAAAAAAAAAGAGGTAAAAAGAGTAGGCAGAAATCCGACTCTATAATTTATGCATCCTCGTATTATGGCACTGACAAGCGATTTGTCAGTGTTCCAGCTTTAAAGGCTCAGCAATGACTAATCAAATGTTAAAATGCTTTTATCTTAGAGAGAAAACTTTGTTGCGAAGAGAGGGAACGGTGATGGGGGTGGGGTGAAGTAAACAGCCACATCATCGAGAAAAGCTCCAAGTTTTATATTATTCGGCATTCGTGCGTTCTGATACTGGCACTGTAGGGTTAATTAACAGTATAGATGCTTCTTTTGACATACTATAAAACTAAGTCGTTGTACGTGGAAGGGAGAAAGAATTTGGCAGCTTGCAGTTATAGTCTAGAGGTAGATCTAGATTCTAGATCTAGATATCTTATTTTAAGTTCCCCACAAATATTCATTTTATTATTATTTAGTCTTACTTTTAGGAATATTTACATAAGAAAGGCTTGTGGAGTCAGCTTTCACTGAACTGTCATGTAACGCGATTGGTATCGATCCGACAGAGCGAGAAGGGAGGGTTGCGGTTTTCTGATGAAACCTTCGCGTGGCTTGCTTGGTGTTGTTGAGTTGTGATGACTCACTGGAAAGTTCTCGTTTTTCCCCCCCTCAAGCCGGGAGTCGCCGAAGATCAATAACATTCCCAACTAGGCGCGGACCAAATAGAAAAGAGGATTATCTTTAGTGCTGATGTAAACAGTAAACAAACTGTGTGTAGGAAATGTACAAAACAGTAGATCTAGATTGTCTAGATGAATACGTTTTGTAAATTTCTTTTTTTCCTCTTCATTTTGTTGTTGCATCTATTGGGGGTAAATTGAGTTCTACTTGAACTCTCTTCGCAAATTTGGAAAAGGATCGTAGTGTTATTTAGCAAAAGTAAATATTGACAAACTGTAGGATTATAGTTGAAGCAGAATGACTTGCATGTTGTAGTTGTTAGTTTGGTAGATTGTTTGTTTTTTGCCCATAGTGCAGTTTTGGTGTAAAAGCTGTTAACTGATGGTCAGTTTGCAGAGTTATAACTAGGAATAAAAGTTTTCTGTTGACTTGAAGTTTTCTGTTGACCAGATGACCTCTGAGATAAAGTTCATGTAGTTGAGTCATAAAAATACTTTAACTACCAGGTGATTTTATGCAAATCAATCCCCTCATTTGTGGAGACTGAACTGTACACCTGGTGTGCTTTCTAAGGTAATGTATTCAAATGAGAAATATGATCAGGGAAATGTTCTTTTTGTTTCCCAATCTACTCCAGATCTCATTTGCATATTTGTCTGAGTGATGTTTCTTTTCATATTAAATTATAGACATTCTTGCAATATATTTTAGAAGGCATGTTGATTAATGTGTTGCCTTTTTTTTGTCTATTTTCAGAATTTTTCCTGGTACTGGTACACCGTACACAACGCACTGACAATGCTGCTCAAGGAGTACTCCAAGATGTCTGCTTCTGTGGTGCCTTACTCCACAACTCTGGTGGATGGGCGTCACGTGATCGTGGATGCCATGACTGAGCTGCAGATACACGAGACGTACATCCTCGTTCAAGAGGCCGCCCAGTCTGGGCAGGGCTTCGGCGCTGACGAGTATGCAGATGAGAAAGAATTTCTGGAGGACATCAGCGATGGTTTCCAGTTTGCCGTGATGGACAAAGACTCTGGGGAGATGGTGGCTGCTTTCATCTTGGCCATCAGCAAATACTCCCGGGGTTGCCAGGTGGCTGATCCCTTCATCGTCGTGAAGAAAAACCAGAGGGGTTGCCGTCTCGGTACCTTCTGTATGGACAAATGTGTTCAGTTTGCAAAAGAACTTGGTTTCATGGGCATTTATTGCGACACGTTCAGCAACAACACAGCCATGATCAAAATCATCGAGAGCATCCCGGGGTTCCAGAAAGTCGGCTGCTTGCCGATGGGCGGAGTGATGAAGGACGGGAGAATCGTGGGCACCGAGATATACTACAAAGATCTCCGCTCGGACCAAGAGAGAGGATAAATGAGACATTGATAAGACTTTGCTGAATCTGTAAACCACACTCGCTAAATCCCGAGCAGTCTGCCGCGAGCCGCCTGAGATTATTCTGAATCCTCGCCATACCATTAGCAATACCGTGTTGCAATAACCAATGATGAAAATGAAAGACTCGACTCTGGACTTGCAAGGACCTGTGGTAGCTTTTGACGTAGACGTTGGTGAACGTGACGTAAAGCTTGCCAACCTGCACAAACGAGTCGCCGCCCCCGGCAACCAAACTGATGCTGCGCCCAGCAACAAATCTGTCTGCACGATAACGTGACATTTAAACCACAGTGTGTTCCTCTTGACTTGAACAGAAAAATGCGTGATCTCTGACTGAATGTGAGAACAGTTAAAAAAGAACTGAAATGTATCTTAGCAAAGTGACATTATGTGTGCTTTAAAAATGACCACGTAATTAAAATGCTTTTTACTTTGGTCTATGCTTCAGGTAAAGATTTAGAAATGGAAAAGTTTGCTCTATTCTGACTGTAAATTTGTATATTCCCAGCTGTGCCTATAACTTGACTTAGGCAGCAATGTTTTAAAGAAAAATAATGAATTTGTGATCTGATCTTGTTAGTGAATTTCTGATCATTATAACGAGTCAACATAAAACTTGTGTTCCCTAACAACAAGCTTGACAATTTCATGATCAGACTGATCTGATGCCCATACTGCGCAATTTGTAAATCAATAATTTTGAAAAGAATCTTAATAGAAGTGTGTTGAATTATTATTTACTCTCTGAAAGTATCATTTCTTGTTGTCTCAGACACTTCAGGGACAGTTCTGTTCTCTCTGCTGTAGCAGATGGCTTTGTCCTTTTTTTTTTTTTAACACTTCATTACATGTATTGTGATGGAAAAGAAATGTATTTCTTATTTAAGAAACGTCATTTCATAAATGAAGGAAAAGGTGAAAGTTTCAAACTTTGCAGGCAGCCTTAGTTATGTTAGAGGATGATAGGTTGGATCCAAGTTTTAAATCAAGGGAAGTAACCAAATTAATAACAATGTATTGTTAAATGAATTGTATTTTGGTTGGTAACTGTTAGGTCTTTTAATGGGATGTTGTGCTCTGTCAAATGAGTGACCTTGGTGATTTAATTGGATTTGATTCAATACTGAGTTTATAATTAATGGTACATAATTAATTAAACATATTACTTGGAAATAAATACAATGAAACTAACTATTAAATGTTGTATATCAAACATCTGATAAGGAAGACATCTAATCATTTGAAAGTACAATGTATAAAAATGCATCTGTTTAGTAAGTGACAAATGTCCATCTTAGAAATAACGTGGATTAACTCATTTCTATTGCAGTGCATAACATTGACTCAAGTTGTTTTTTCCAAACTGAAATTTGATTTGAGACACATACGGAGTGGTGTATTATTCATGTTCTTATAATGCTTTCTTTGAAATAGTTGCAAATGTCCATCTTAGAAATAACGTGGATCAGCAAACTGTTTTGCTAGCATGACATGTGAAGAGTTTGAAAAACTGGAATGAAACAAAAACTTGTTTACATGATATAATGTGAGGGAAGAGATCTGATGTGTTGTGTCAGTTCTGATGTGTGTATATATGTATGTAGTGTCAGTGTGTTGTATTGCTGAATAATTCACTTGATGATAACCTATTGGATTCATCTTAGAAATAACGTGAGTCTTTCGGTGTTGTCTTTGATGAGTTTGGCTTGAAAATGTCATCCAAAGTTCATTGTTGTAAGACCTGCAACATGTTTTCTATGCAAGACTGACTTGACATATGATGTTTGCAGTGTTTTTGTTTCATACTCAGTGTTTTCGTCCGGTCTGGAAAGAATCTGTTCAGTCTTGGTGTGAACCTCATGGTAAAGACAGAAATAAATCTGATGAGATTGAAAAAAAAATGGCCTTTTTGTTTTATAATATTTGTGCAGAAATATACCTATGTGTTGTTATCTTGTTTCCTTCTTTCCTATCAAACATCTATGGTCCTTATCTCCCCTACTTCTTTCTTTGTGTGTTTTTTTTCTCTCTTGTAGCTCCTACAATCTTCGACATCTATCGTCCTAATCTCTCCTACTTTTATTTTTGTGTTTTTTACTCTCTTGTAACACCTATTATCTTCGGCAATTATGTGACCATTGTGTTGCAAATGCCATAAAACTCTTACTAAAACTAAAAACTGTTCCATTGTTGGTCTTCTTGTCTCTCTGGGGGTGATTGGAGGGTGCCACTTGGAGATCCCACTTTACTTCTCCACTGTCGTTTCTGTCTGTTGGTCTTACTTTTTCCCAACACTAAATGGCTATTATGTCGATGTGCTTCTCTTTACTCGAACAAACAAAAACACAATCTCTATGATCCAAGTCTAAGGACCCACCATTGTCACCTTAATTAGTATCATGCTGGACCGCAATGTGGATGATCCGGATTCGAACCACCCCAAATGTACTTGAAGTTTCGGATCTTTGTAGGTCTTCATCGGCTTGCCTTTGGTCTTTTTTTTAGAAAAATGGATGTGAAATCAGCTTATTCTTAAAGAATAAACTTCCAGAGATGAAAGTTGAAAATGGGAGTGGTTGGCGGGTGCTCTGGTACAGTTTGCTCCTTCTTTCGTCCTATCAAAATCTGCCATCCTTATCTTTCCTCTTCCTTTTTTGTGTTGGCTATTCTCTTGCAACACCTCTAATCTTCAGCACTTACATCTATATTAGTATGAGCTTTTTGAATTGCAAGTGCCGTAAAACTCTAACTAAAACTAACTACAAGTACAAGTTGAAAAACCCAGACTGACCCCTTTCAAAAAAGATCAACTACATTGACCATTGATGTCAGTGCACTGACCTAAGCACCATGACTCCGACAAAGCAGACTGAAACGAAATCATCTCTCTCTCTCTCTCTCTCTCTCTCTCTCTCTCTCTCTCTCTCTCTCTCTCTCTCTCTGC